TTTTAGAATTTGGCAGAATGATAGCGTCCTGAAATGTGATTGGTGGGAGATCATCTAATTTGGAAAGTGTAATTGGTAAATACTGTGGAATAATGGTGGAATAATTAAAAATTTTGACTATGGTGTTATGCAGTTACTTCCTTGTGTGATCATTGCAGGAGATATCATTATCATCAGGCATTTTCGACATGACAAATGGCTTTTTTCTAGAAAGTGAATAATAATGTTTTTAAATGGTAAAGTTAGTCTATATTCTTGTATTTATGGGTGATTTAAACTTAACGGCATAGCTCAATGGAAGTATTAAATATTCTAAAGGTGTTTAATTACTGTATTTCAAGGGTCATTAATTAACACTAATTATCACAAAGGATCCATTCCTAAAAGTCAATGCGTACTGTATAATGAATTTGCGAATATTGGGACAATTTTCCCCATGAGAATTAATGTACTGTGAATACAGGGGATGCGTTCCCAGCCGGACATTTTCGTCAATTTTTTTATATTAGTACTGTATTCCTCTTTATCCAAGGCTATTAGTTACCAGGGCCACATGTATACCCCACTGCAGTACTGTATTATCAATATGTTAACTAAATTTCAGAATGACCAATAATTTTAATATAAAAAATGCAGAAATATTCAAGAGACTAACTTTCTTGATATTTACTCCACTGGAAATGAATGTAAACATAAAACTGATTACTATATTGGCGGACTGGCCTATCAGCTGATGCGCACAACAAAACGTGTTTGTCGTAAGGATTTCGTTAATCAAAGTTTTGTTCGTTAATCGAACTGAAAATCCTTATGGGAGCTAATTCGTTGACCAAAATTTCGTTAATCGAACCGTTCGTTAACCTAGGGACCACTGTATTAATAAATAAAAGAAAAAATACCGCATTGCCAGTTTTAGCAACAGCTTCACTACACATGGTAGACTGGAGCGGTCGAGAGACCCAACAATTCTCCCACCTCCCACAATACGAGCATTAACTACCGTGCACGTAAGAAATGTTATTCCTTTTATGTCTTTGACCTTATGATAATCAATTATTTTAATTTTGTTTTATCCACATCTTGTATGAATGATTGTGTGTGCATGTAACAGTATAAAAAAAAATTGAAGAAAATTAAATATATCTACAGTACTTGAAAATACGAGTTGAAAAATATTAATCCTGGAGCTCACAGCTTGGTGGCTGAGATCCCACTCTCACTCCCCCCTTCCCCTCCCACTCCCCCCTTCTTCCCTCCCACTCCCCTCCCACTCCACCTTCCCCCACCAACCTTCCTCCCACTCCATCTTCCTCCCACTCCACCTCCCACTCCACCTTCCCCTCCCCCCTTCCCCTCCCACTCCACCTTCCCCTCCCATGATCAGAGCAATAACTCCCACAGTCATAAGAAATGTTTGTGCTCTGTTTGTTTTTAACCTAATGGTAATAATTTATTGTATTAATTTTTGGCACATTCTTTATGAGCCATTGTGTGTGCATGGAAAAGAGTAGAATATGTATTGAATAAAAGTACGTACAATATATCTAACCGAAAATATGAATTGAGAAATACCAATAACACAGCCTGGCCTTGTAGGAGGATGTAGCTACAGGGACAGTCTAACATGGCAACAAACACATACACAAAACACACACACACAAAAACACACACACACACACACACACACACACACACACACACACACACACACACACACACACACACACACACACACACACACACACACACACACACACACACACACACACACACACCCACCCACACCCACACACACACCCACACCCACACACACACATATTAGTTAAATAAATAGTTTTATAGTACTGTACCTGTATAAAGAATACTTGTAATTGCTAAGTACTGTACTGTTATGAGGTAACAGTCTTTGTAAGGGGCTGATTTCAGTTGACCCCAAGAAAACCTCTGCTACAATTATCAACTAGCGTCCTGGAAGACGCCTGGTAATTTTCAAGGTATATTTTTGTAATAAAAAGTGTGTCTTCTAAGCCGAAAAATACGGCAAATGAATGAAAACTTATGCGAAGTAACAGTACACTCGAGCACAGGGTATTGTGATATATATGGCACATTATGTTATGATAAAGTTTTGCATTACTGTATATGAGCTGAAGTACTGGAAACCAAGCTTTGGTGGAAAGTTTTAAGTTTCTCATAAATTACTGTACTGTATAAGTACTTTTCTGTATTGACTTTGGAGGGATACAGTATTGTGAATTAGGATTTTTCTCACTATGTATCAACATTTGAAGAGCCAAGGGGAGGCCAAGAATGACATGGGGAGAGATTGTAAGAAATAACATTACAGGTAGGAACCTGACAAGAGAGACCGCAAGAGACAGCGGGTAACCCATACAAGCATGGAAAATTACCATAAAATGATACTGATGATTTGAAGATGTCACAGGTAATACAATTTATCAACAGATTCTATGTACAGTACTGTATAGATTATTTGGTCATTATGTAAAACGGATAGATTTATGAAGCCAGCACACACTTCACCTTTATCACAACTTATAATCTCAGGTTCTTGATAAGTCAGGCAGCACTAATACAAAGTTCATCACTGGTACTTTGTGTTTGTTTATAAGTGAGCCTCACTCTTCACTACACTAGCTTTATCACATCCATTAATAGAACGAATCTTAACTTTCTTTGGGACACAAATACAGTATCTCAAAAAAGTATCTGCCAGGATGGGTCCGATGACTTCCGAAATGCTGTATGCAACTCGTGATGTCCCGGGAGGGTTCATATGCGTGGCTCTCTGGCATACTGATCCAACTACATTTGGTAACTGAACATCATATTAATTATGCCAAAATAAATACTCATTGTGGTCTCATAACGTTTTACACAGTGTGGACAGATACTGTTTTGAGATACTGTACAGTATGCCTTAATGCATGAGTCATAAAGGCAAGCATGAACTTAGCATGCTTCCCAGATGGGCGCTGTAAATGCTTGTGCTTCACCTTGCACAAGATGTAAGGGGGTGCCCAATAAACTAGCCCCCTCGGGGGCAATCTTAAAATCTTCTCAGGTGCCTAGTGTAGCACTGGACTACACAGTCCCGTTGTTTCATGAGAAAAGTACAGTACTGTACTATAGTTTCCTATTTTACTTAAACAAAATTTATACCGTTATGTAAAAAGCATTTGGAAGCTTGGGGGAGTTGGTGACTGTACAGACACAGATATTTTTCTAAATTGTTTATTATTTTGCATAAAGATAATGTCTTCTGCAGTTAATTTAATTGGAAGACTCATCATTAAGTCATTGGTGTGGCCTGCCTGTATGTGTGACACTGCTGCCTTAGAGTAATAACTGAAATGTTTGAAGATCAATGCTTGAAATATTTGCTGTTCATATTTGGAGTGGATACTGTCAAGATTTTAAACAAGGCTCCTATTCTGAGGACACCCTGTGGTAAAGAGCTCTCAAAACAGTCACTAAGTTTACTGTGTGTGGTTGGTTTTTATACAATTTGTTTTAGTCTTTGCAGGGCCGCCGAGAGCTGGCCAGAGCCCCGGGGAAAGATAAATTTATAGGCCCCTTTATAGATATACAGTACTGTATTTAATATTTTTTCCCCCTTTTCCTGGGCCCCCTAGAGGCCTAGGCCCCGGGGATTTATCCTGGCTTCCCTGCCCTATTGGCGACCTTGGCTCTTTGTGTTCTAATTGGCCAATAATTGTTGGTAATTACAGTAGTATTAAGTCAGTAGTTAGAGAATAAATTGAAGCTTCACAATGATAGACAGGCAGCTTTCTCATGATTTGTTTAATTGTTTATCATATTTTATAATAGGTACAGTACAGTATACACTGATATCTCCATTAGCCGGAACAATTGGTGCACAGCACTTCCAGAATGAGAGATATCCAGGTGACAATACAACTCTTTCAAAGCCAGAAAAAATTCCTCATCCCCGGAGTTTTCTGGGTAACTAAAAAAAGTTCTCGAAGTTCCAGAAATTGCCCATTGCATCATCTCTCGAACCCGGAAAAATATCCCCCATCCCCGGAATTTTCCGAACCGGAAAATTTGTACCCAAATTTCCGGAAATGCACCTGATTTTCATCTCTCAAACCCGGAAAAATATCCCCCATCCCCGGAATTTTCCGGGTATCGGGAAAATTTTCTTGGAATTTTCCGGAAAATGTGCCCCTCAGAAAATTTCAATTCCGGCTATCAGAGAGTTCCAGGTTTGAGGGATTCCGGCAAATGGAGATATTACTGTACAGGGTATTGCACTTTTTGTCATACTATTCTCTAATAGGTTTTGCTCTTTTTCCCACCTTATTCTGGATTTATACGAGTGTATGTGCTCACTACCTAACCTAAAGTCAGCTGTACATATACTGTACTTTAAAGGACCCTCTCTTCAGAACTGTGTACAGTATTATATCAAATAAAAATTTTTAGATTAAAAATCTTTCTTCAGTAGATTATAAAGTACTGTATTGCTTCTTGAAGTTCTGTGTATATTTCATTAATCAATTGTGAGGTTTTCATCCTCTAGCTAAACTCCTTAGAACAAGTTGAGAACTGTACACTATGCATAGTAAAATAGTTCTAACACAGTGTATAGAATGTTCATTTATATGTGTACCCAGTATTGCCATTGACTGATACAGTACTGTGTAATATATACAGCGTACAATACAATGAAGTTTCTAATCTGATTCTTATTGATTCACCTGGGAGGATTTTTTTTGTTCATAAATGCATATTTCTTGAAAATATTTACTTTTTGGAGTTCTGAACTTGGATGGTAGTACAGTATAGAAGTATCATAGACTATTATTAAAATGTTTTAGTGCCAGGTGACTAATTACTAGATAGCATGTTTATTAAATTGAATATATAAATATTTTATCTGGAAGCTTAAAGGTCAAGATGGATAATTGATTGCTGATAACGGAGGCTATGTAAAGGCCTGAGTGACTGTGGTGTGAGGCTGTAGAAACACTCACCACAGCGGTCCACATTATGATCGCCGTATCTTATCGTTATATTCAGTGCTACTGAAGATTGATTTGGTGTATTATCTGGCATCACTGCCTGTGGGTATTTGACGGCTGGTACCGAGGATCCGGTTTTAAGCATTATAGTATTTAGAAAATCTTTAGCACGGTAAAGTTTCTATGACTATCTTACTTCGATGAGACATTGTTTAGAGTAATTGTGAATGTGAATCTCCTGCCAAGATGAGTTATGGGCTTCAAGTGCTATGGAAAGTGTTGTTGGTAGTCTTGCAGATATTGTTGCTGCTACACTTCTCCCAAGGACAAGAGAATGTTAGTGGTCCCAGGAAGAGAGTCAGCAAGTGGAAAGGTGTAATGTTAGCCTTAACACATGTAGGTGAATACAATGAGACCCTTTGGCCGGTGATATATGAAACTCGAGATGAGGAAGATGTTGAGTGTACATCTTCACTTGATCCTGAAGCAGTGGATAAATGATAAGTTTATAACATTGTGTGTGACCTGTTGCTGTACCTGTCACATTGTGATTAAAGCACTTAGTAATATACAGTACAGTATGTCACTCTGTTAACCTGTCTTTTTCTGAGTGCTTTTATGTGCCATTATGACCCTTAGCTCCCTAACGGACCAGTATTAACTTACTAAAAAATATAGTCCAGTTCCTCTGAAACACCTGTTACTAAACCTGTAGTTAAGTCTGAGTGTATTGAATCAAGTACGGTATGTACTGATGTGGTGATGTGAAGTTCCTTGATACTCACTGTTTCTTGCACATTTTCCAGCACATCACACACACTAGATTCATCATCACTGTTCTCTTAAGTTATTAGAATGAATTGCATCCAACATATCAACATAATAAATCTTGTTTTGAGCTGTTGTTCTGGCCACACACAGTTGTTGTGCTCTCCTCTTGTGACATCGTGATGGATACTGGCGACCAGAATAAAAAGAAAATATCACTTATTCGAATAGCATTAATAAGTGTTGCCAACTGAGATATTTATAACCTCCAGCTGCCCATAAGAGCGCACGTTTTTTTTTTTTAAAAGTGCCCGACCCTTCTACTTCACACCTGCAGTGCACAGAATAAAAATTGCTGTCACATATATTGTACAGTAGAACTTCGATTTAAAGTGATTCAATTTAAGATTATTGATTTAAAGCGACACCCACAATTAAGGACAATCTTTTAATTTAAAGCGGATCTTACCTATTTTGTGCGAGTCAATCTGGCGCATCATATTTTAAAATTTGCGCCTAATATTCCCCTGGGCACGCTACACTGTCCTAAGGGCACAGCTGTACTGTACATGTACTCAAAATAATGTACTAAATGATTATTAAAATTTTTGTCTCGTGCAAACTATAGCATGTTTATATTCAAATTAATCACTATCTTATAAGAATTCCAGCAATGTAAATTATATTCTCCCCGGTCACTTCTGTGACATTTTATAAGAGAAAAACTTAGTCACTCTTAAGGACAGATAAATAAATAAGCACTAGACCTTGGCATCAACTGTCAAACATATCACCTCCCTCCCTCCTCCCCATCTTCCCAGCCAGTAAACAGACCATTTCACATCCCTTAATGTTAGCTGTGTTGATTTATGAGTGTTTGTTTTTACACAATACTACAAAAAACAATGTTTTGTTTATTCTAGGAGATGGGCTGAGGTGCATCTGGGTAGACTCTCAGTCTTTTTAGTATTTTATGTTTCTCTCAAGTACCAAACTAAATTATTCCAATGAAACAACACTTCGATTTAGTGCGAATTCGATTTAAAGCGACCTCTCTTGGAACGTATCCTTCGTTATATTGATGTTCTACTGTACAGGATTCCTACAGAGAAAAAAAGTTAAAACTTGCAAACTCTTATTCATCAAGATTAGTCTCAGATATCATAGCTGGCCAGAATTTTTTATGGGTTTAACATACACTCAAGCAACTGCAGTTTCCCTAATTTTATTTTTTTATAGAGCAGCCTGTGACTGTGAGTGTAGGAGGATGATGAAAAAAGTTTTTGTGCAAAACCTGATGTTATATTGCTCTGTGTAGTGACTTTCGTGTGCACAGCCTACACCAGTGACCGGTCACGGGCAATGCCTTATCGAAATAATAATTGATGGGTTTTATTGAATAATTATTGGTTCTTGGAGTACATACAATACTGTACAGTACAGTATATGAAATTTCAGAATTTATCTATATTCTTAAAGTAATGGTGGATGGGCTGAGAGGAAGATGTAGGTGGCAGAAACACACACTTGCTCCATCACGCTACACAAACCTTGACCATAAAAACGATGCTGATAGTTGATGTTTTTGGACAGTGGATTGTCAAGATTTAGTGGACTAGAGTAGAGTGAGAAATCCAGGATACTTATTTGTCTTTCTCTTTTTTACCTCCTCTGATGACAGTTGGTTTGGTAGCTGGCTAAGATGGTGTCCCACTTCACTGAGTCTTCTTCGCGAGGCAGAAAAAGCCGTTTTGTCTAGTAAGTTTCCTCTTATTTCAGATTTTATATAAGGAACCATTGAATAGTATAAGCTTCTGTGTGTGTTACATTGAGGAAACAGATGTAAATGTGATATAGTTTCATTAACCTGATTTCTGTGTCTCTTTGTTTGGTCAGACTTGAAGGGGTCATACAGAGGGCATTATGTCAACGTTGGATGTGCCATTGACAAAACCGAGTCCCACATCTGGACGGTGAGCTTCAATGAGGAATCAGATAATGTTCCACTCGTTCTTCTCCATGGCTTCGGGTCTGGTGTGGGGTTGTGGTGTCTTAATTTTGACTCTCTCTCAGCCAGCAGACCAGTTTATGCCATAGATATTATAGGTGAGTGTTGTATTGTACCTGTGTGTAGTGATGATTTCTTGATATCCTGTGGGACTTTTTTTGGTTCATGCTTTAGATTGAAAAAATAAATTAAAAAGGATCATAAGTTTATTTCAGAAATTTCACTTTTATTTATACTTTCAGTTATTGATGCAGTTGGTAGTGTTGTGAAAAAGTTCTTAATATACAAAGCTTTTATTATTACAGTATTGTATTGTACTACTTCATGTATAACCCATAGTTTTGCCTCTGAACTTTGTATGCTTTTACTTCCCAAAGGATTTGGCCGCAGTTCTCGTCCGACCTTCACAAAGGATCCGTTAGAGGCCGAGCGCGAGTTTATCACTTCAATAGAGCTTTGGCGGCAGAAGTTGGCCCTAGAACAATTTATCCTTGTGGGGCACTCGTTTGGAGGCTTCCTTGCGGCCTCTTATGCAATTAAACACCCAGAGAGGTGAGTATTATAAGGTAACTGAATGATGAGCACTTATGTGGATCTTTCAGTGGGTGATAGATAACTTACAGTATTTTCAAGAATTATGAAACAGATCCTTGGGAGTTTTGGGGCAGCCTCATGGAAACTTGGTCCCAAATGGGTGAAACTTGGGTATCATTTGTGAATAGTCCCAAGGCTTGTAATCTTAAGTGAAATGGCATATGTCAACAAGCAGGCTGTCATAAGAGATTTGGAAAGTGCCAGTGTTGTGACACCATTGACATATCTGGTACAGTATTCCCTTAACGCTCACGGTTTTAAAGCTTGTGTCCCTTGGAACTCACGGATTGCCATAGGAAATAAATAAAATAAATCTGAGGCTGTGTGCCAGGGATCAAGAGGAGTCAACACTACAGGACAGTACAGAGCACCATATTTCCCAGGTCATAAGATGCACCCTATAATTAACAAGGTATATTTTGGAAACATTATTTTTGCAGATTTAGTAGCCTCCTGTACGGGCAAAGCCAAATCACTGGCTATATGGTATCATGTTTCCTACTACCGCAGCTATCACTGTGTGGACCTAATGTCCATACAGTGCTATTTCATGTTTGTTTATTTATTTATATTATTTCATATTTATTATAGTGTCTTACGCATACATAATGTTGTTAGACGTGTGCATATAGCTATTTATATATATTTTTTTCACACTCTTGGGACTGACATGAAAAACTCGTGGATTTTGCTTTTTCATGGGGTCCATTTTACCTAACCCCAGCAGGCTTTAAGGGAATACTGTACCAGACAAATGAGAATTTACTACTGTATGTTTATGATCATTGAGTATAAGTACAGGTATCCCTGTCTATACTAATGTTCATTCTACAAATATTCACTTATATGTGTTAGGTACTAAATTACAGTAGTTAGGTAGTACTAAGTTACATTAGTAAGGTAAGTTTTTGTGAACATTTAATTTTTTAGGGATAATTGAGGCTTTCTTGTTATTGGGGAACCAAACCCAATTTTTCCCACATGTTATGTTAATTGATGTACGAATATTCACTTAACACATTATTTTCAAGTAACCAAACCCTTTCATATAGCGAGGGATATCTCTACTAGTAATACTGGGCAGTTAAATGCTCAGTTTTCAGTGTTTTGGATAATAATTCAGCTGTGCAAGTCACTACTGAGAACTTTGTTACCTATATAGGAATACCCCGGTTATCACATAGGATACGTTTTTAAAAGTCATTGTGAATCAAGAATTTGCGAATATCGGGCCAATTTACCCTGTAAAAATTAATGTGAATGGGGGATGCCTTCCCAGGCGGCAACTTTCACCACATAATTTTTTATACACACTCCTCATTATTCGAGGATTGTATAAAGTCAAAGAAAAAATACCAAATTGTCAGTTGGCAATAGTTTTACTACACGTGGGACATGGGAGACAAGAGTGCCTGAGATCCCCAACTCTGCTCCCTCCTCCTCCTATCATGATCCGCTCACTAACTACCGTGCACGTAACAAATGTTTATTCCCTTTATGTTTTTGATCTTATGATATTCATTTCTCTTCTTTTTTTTTTTGCACATTCTGTATGAACGATTGTGTGTGCATGTAACTGAATAAAAAAAATTAGAAAATGACTTATATCTACCGGAAATTATGAGTTGAAAAATATCAATAACACAGCTTGACCTGGTGGGGAGAGAGCTATGGAGATCTAGCTACAGGGACAGTCTAACTTGGTGACCTGCCAAGTCCACACACATTCATTTCACACACATACACACCTATAGTATGCGCTTCATATTTTTTTTTTATAGCAACTTATTTTTTGATATACTGTACAGGTGCACTCCATATAATGTAATAAAATAACTACAATACCATAAAAACAATACAAAAGAACACTGTGAGTAAGTGAGTGTGTGTAATGGTCAGCATGCTCGCCTCACATGGAATTGAACCCGGGTTCAATCCCCGGGCAGGGTGAAACTATGGGCATGCTTCTTTATGCCATTTGCCTCTGTCTACCCAGCAGTAATTGGGAACCTGGATGTTAATCGATTTGTTCCGGGGTAATGCTTAGCCAGTGCAGTTGGCGATTTGTCCGGTCTTCTCGGACTTTTCCTTGACACTGGGTCATGTGTACGACGTTTGTAAATGAGTGTAAGCATTTAAACTACCATTTACCATTGCCATATGATGAATACTAGAACGCTCGGCATGTTTTTTAACTCTGTGGTTTGGAAGTACAGGTACAGGTGTGGGGTGAGCGTCTCCCGTGTGTGCTCAGTTTAAGCGGTCCCATTAAACTTCACTAATTTCTAAACTGCGCAGAAAAGACACTCGTGTGAAGCGGGCCTTACAGCTGAATATGAGAGCATCAGCTGGTCTGTGTAGTTTGAAATATTACTGAAGGGTATTGTAATTTTTTATTTGCGAATAAGTAGGGTATGCTTTGTAAATATTGAATAGCGGTGTTGAAATATCAATTGTGGATAAACAGGGTTGTAAATAGCGAGGTATTCCTGTACATTTTTAAGTTTAAAAGATTTTGAAACTCCATTTTGAGGAAGGTTTGTGACCCTATTATAAAATCCAAGATGCAAGCTTATCATGATGGATCGTGGCGACAATAACAACAAGGAATAGTGTAATACAGGAGAATTATTTGTTCCCAGGATTCGTCATCTCATCCTGGCTGATCCCTGGGGGTTCCCGGAGCGTCCTCTGGATGTCGCTGAACGATACAAGTTTCCATTCTGGGTCAAAGCTGTCGGTGCTATACTCCAGCCCTTCAATCCTCTCTTTGTTGTGAGAACTGCTGGACCATGGGGTAAGTGTTTTTGTGGGAAGAATTGTTAGTTAGTGGGACGCTGGTGGATGCATAGTTATAGTAATTATCTTTTTGTATCTAAACATAATTTGTGGTGGAAGCCTTCAGGAAGTTTGTGTTTATAGTAAGTGAATCTTTGGATGGGAATATGTAATGAACTCTTTTGTGTTTGTGTATACTGTAGTTGAGCCCCCTCCTTTTTTTATTTTACTCTTTCATGCCTTTTCTCAACTAATGCAGGACACACACACACACACACACACACACTTTCTCTTCATTCTTTCATTCGTGAACATTCATTTATTTTTACTGCTAACTTGATATTTCCATTAGCCGGAACAATTGGTGCAGAGCTCTTTCGGGGATTAGAGATTTCAAAAGTTTCTGAGAGACTAAACTATGCATTTTGCACAGACAGACACTATTGCACATCCCCGGAATGTTTCTGGGTGCTGGAGAAAGTTTTCCAAGAATCTAAGAGAGTCTAAACCATGCATCTCATCTCGAATAAACTACGCCTTTCATCGTCTCATCTCCCACAAACAAACATTCTCCCATTACATTTAGACCACGGGCACAAGCAAAAATATTTACCGGTATGTCTAGCAAAAATATGTTGAAATTTTTATTCACATCATCTGTTGTAATAGTGTTAGAGAGAGGAACTTGTTACCATGATAATACCGAATAAATTATCTATAAGGCTGTTCCAATAAAAGACCCGAAAACAAAATATGCCAGTGCAATAATAAGAATGGGGACTGAGTTCTTTGATGAAAAACTATAAGAAATGTTGATACCGGAGTCTATAAATCAGTTCTAAGGAACTTAGAAACACTTTTTTTTTACCCAAATAATTCTGAATACTTTAACTAAAAGTTTGGTTAAGAGAATATACAGTATTAAATTTTTTTTTAAATCTGTATGATACGGGCTTGAGATGCGTGAATGGAGCTGTGTGTTACAACCAAGACTGGAAATTTCCTCACAACACTGGGGAAAGTTCTCTTTGAGTCTAAATTACGCATCTCGCACGAAGTTGTATTTATTTACGCAAACACTTCTGTACGCCTACAATTTATTGTAGATATTGTAAACAAAATAATGTATACTGTAGAACACTGTACTTTCTGACAGCTGCTGTTGTCTTGAACCTAGAGTAGACAGACACTGTTCACTCTGCTGAATGTAATACATAACTGAAATAACTTTGTCTTTACACTTGCGATGAGGGTAGGGTGGTGGATAAGTGGGTCTCATGTTACTGACCTGACTTGATGTAAGGTCAGGTCACCCATTGTTTGGTGAGGGATTAATGGGTCTCATGGCCTGAAGATGTTTTGAATAAAGACAAAAGGTAAGGTGCTCCAGCATTTCCCACCTACTGAATATACAGTACAGTACAGTACAGTATATGAAACTATAATCACTTTTTACATCTTAAAACTGCTTTAACACTGTATTCATGGCTGATTGTGTCCTGGTATGTTCAGTAATGTACATTATTGCACAGAACAAAGTAAAAAAAAACAGCAGCTAGTGAGGGAACAACCTTCTACAATGGCAGCAGAATATGAACTAAGTGATCCAAGCAGGTAGCCCACCCACACGTCTGGTATCTGGAGACGTGTTGGAGCATACTGCAATCTCTGAGAACTCCTGGAAAATTTATTTCCAGGCCCAGAACGGAGAGGTTTGGAGAGAGTTTTCTCGAATTTATCCTCCCCGATTTTCATTCCGGATATTGGAGAGTTCCACAGATTGGGGATTCCAGCTAATGGCAAGATTGCTACTCCTCTTCTGTAACAAGGCCCAACCTGGTTTAGTCCTGTTGCTTCACCACACAGGTCACCATCACCCATCAGTCCAATACTTTACCTGAAAATCACACAGTGTCATACTATTTGTTCTTTCAAACATACTACTGCTGTCTGGATGTCCACCACTCTTCATCCTATCCTCCACTGTATTTGTTAGATAATGAAAAGTAAGAACAATTATAAGATAAATTATATTTATTCAAATTAAAAAAAGAAGTGTAACTTATGTATATTTATTTAAATTCTATAGTTATAAAATTTTGAGTTTAGTCTAAGGAACAGTTCATTTTCGAAAGATATTTCTTGCTATGGTTTGCTTGGGAGTGCATATCAGTCAATATGAAAGTGCTTGAATGCATCCCAATGACAGCCATGTTCTTGTAGCAAGTAGCACAATGTTTTGAAAAGAGTAGCAGAGTAAAAGTATTCAGAATTTAGAGGATTGAGTTAAAAGTAAATCCCCTCCAAATTCCATTGATGTAAAGTACAGTGAGTTCTGCTATAATGCGTGTTTTGACAACGCGAATTGGCTGTAACGCGATTTATGAATAGAGGAACGATATTTGTAAAACGCGAACGCTTGTTTGCTGTAACATGATTTTTGCTTACTATTTCTCCAATTTTGTGGTATTAACTGTGAATATGGTAAAGAAGAATATCTCCAAGAAGCGTTCTGGTGATCTCATTCCCGGTGATGATCGTAAAAGAAAGGCTATAACACTTGAAGAGAAGCTCGATGTTATCAACCTCAAAATCACCCTTCTCCCCATCAAGTTATATTCATATTTTTTCAAGGTAAAGTGTTACATTTACTTTATGATTTCATTATTAGATATGAATGTAACATTTATTTAGAATGCTCTATCCTTTGTGTTAGGCTAACTACTAATTTTTTTTCGATTTCGAGTAATCTGCACCAACCCTATTTTCTCCATAAGCCCTGTTATTTCTATTGCGCGAATTTCTATAACACGATGTCTTACATGAACACAACTATCGCGTTATAGCAGAACTGACTGTACAGTAATGGAGTATTCCTACTTATTCCTCCAGAACCACACAAGGAGGGGGGGGGGGGCACTGCTTCAAACCCTGAGCATATAACCAGCTCCCATTTAGAGTATCAGCCCTAAATATTTTTCAGTTTTACTATTTTTAAGTTTTCTCATATATTCTGCTGAGTAGACAATTAGTCTTGCCTAACCCCTTCTCTATGGAGACACCTAACCTCACTCTTTCATTGAATTGTCCTGTAGGAGTGAGCAACATCCTGTGCTATATCAAGGACTTGAAGAAGACTTTTTGCCATCTTGATCCAGTAAATGTATAAAAGGAACCACTCACTTATGAACATGCTGCAGGCTGTATTTGTATAATCATAAATAAATTTTATTGCAGTGAGCAATTTTTTGCAATCTGAGAAACGGTTTATTGTGTCCACTTTTTAAGAAACCTGGTATTGAAACTGAAAATACTTTATCTTTTAGAGAGAAATGGAGTGATCCCTCTGAATTTAGTAATAAACACTTGCACAGGAAAGTCCTCCCTTCTGGTCTTGCTAGATCTCTCTGCAGCTTTTGACATGGTGGATCATCTGTTGCTTCAGGATCTTTGGTTGTTTGGTGTCCATGACGATGCACTCTCACTGCTTGAGTTTTATCTGTCAGAGTGATCTCAGTGTGTGATGGAGGGTGGTACCAATTCAGACCCATTCCCTTTGCAGTTTGGATTTCCACAGGGATCAGTTTTGGGACCACCTCTGCTTACAGTCTATACCAGTAGTCTTGTATCTCTGCTGGATGCTCATGGTGTTGCCTACCATTTCTATGGCAATGATACACAGTTTATGTGAAAATAATAAATGTTAAAGATATTTAGGAGATAATGAAATCCTTGATGTCTGATATTAAGTTTTGGATGTCTAGGAATAAACTTAAGCTGAATGACAGCAAAACCGATATTATTGTCATCCAAGGAAATAGGAGGGGAGACAATAAGATGATTTTGGCTCTTTAAACTTTGGGGAAGTACAACTCAATTCTGTCGACTCTGCTCACACTCTTGGAGTGTACCTTGCCTCAAAACTGAATTCTAAAGAGTATGTAAATTCAGTAGTTAAGAGTTGAAACTTCCATACACAAAATATAAATGTTGTAAAACAGTTTTTGGACTGACAGTGTCTTGTGACACTATGACATTCACTTATTTTGTCTGGGATTGACCATTGTAACTCTTTTTGGGTCTACCTACCTATTTAACTACTGAAAAAAGTTCAAACAGTGTTGAAGAGGGTTGCCAGGCATATTTTTGCTCTCCTAACAAGGACCCCCACTACCCCACTCTTGATCAAATTACATTGGCTTCCAATTAAAGCTAGGATAGAGTGCAAACTCTGTCTAATGACTTTTAAGACACTAATGTTTGGCCAACCTACTAATTCCACGAACTACACATTCTGAAATGATTTTGTGTAGTATTGATGATTCTTCATGCCTTGAGGAACCTAGAGCAGTACGGGAATGTTCTTTCTGCTGCCCGATCCTTTTCCGATGCAGCACCCAGACTGTACAGTAGGTTGCCTGTATCCATGAAGCAGCTGACGTCTGTGGAGTCCTTTAAGAAACAACTTAAGACCTCTCTTTTTTTAAAGTTTATGATGCTGAACAGAATACACCCGGTACAGTGATGAAGAATTACAGGGTTTAGGAAGTATTAAAACTTAAGGGCATATGAATGATAGAAGTCGAACTGTCACTTTTTGTGATCTTTTATTGTAGTACAGGGGGTTCCCGACTTACGAACGGGGTTAAACTTGAAATTTACAATATTTTATTTACCTGATGACCTATTTTTTTTACTTTCATTTACTGTATTTTGTCATTCTATTTCTTCATTTGTTTTAAATTAAATCAATTTAGATGTACTGTATATAAGGACTTAGGCTATAATATAGTGGGATTTTAAACATTGTTTTGTAAGTACGTTATGCACATAGCATGTGTTCCAACTTAAATACAAATCCGACTTAAGAACGTCCTCAGGAACGGAAATAACCCGGGGACCCTCCTGTACAGTATTTCATTTTATTCTCAAGTTTTTTACTTTGCAGTGTTACAAGCGCTAGTGGAACCTTTAGAAGAACAGTTGCTTTTGACAAACAAAAGACCAGCTATTATTATTATTATTGTTATTATTATTATTATTATTATTATTATTATTATTATTATTATTACAGGTATTATTATTATTATCATTATTATTATTATTATTATTATTATTATTATTATTATTATTTTTATTATTATAGTTGCCTAACACCAGATGATATTATTCAGTTGAGAGGCGACACCATTCACAAGGGGTTAAGTACGGTAGTGTCTAAAATCAAGTACAGTATTGTTTGTAAGTGCTCTATAAGAAAGTAACTATTATAGAACTGATGACAGGATCACTATATGACCATTACTATTTTTTCTCCATTTGTTCTAGGTCTTGGGTAATACTCTACATGGTAACATTAGTTTTATGTTTTTCTCACAGGCCCAAAATTGCTCCAGAAAGCCAGACCTGACCTGATCCGCAAATTCTCTGGTATGGTGAAAGATGCTGAGGAAGTAATCCCCAGTTACTTGTACCACTGTAATGCTCAAAATCCGTCGTAAGTAAAAGAAACTTCAAGTACACCTACATTTGATTTTGGTCTACAATATTATCATTTGTCTCTAGAAACAAGTCATCTACAGATAACTTAATCCCCCCTCCCCCTTAGTCTTGTCTTGCTGTATAAAGGAGGAGGATGAAGGCTTGTATCCCAAGACACAGGGACACATAAACAAAATAAAAACTACTTTCTGCTTTAGCTCAGCTCAGCTTTTCTCCCAGTTGCAAAGTATACTGACTGCACCAGATGGTGTGATATTTGGTTGAAAAGTGGCTATTTTTATTTTTATTTTGCAAACTTATTATGTGGAGTCAAAGATAAAATAAAAGTTTGCCATCATCATCATTGTCGCTATTTTAGGAGAAATTTTCACACTTGTGTGGATTAGCTGTGAATACCTGATGGCAGCTCTCCATGATGTGAGTTCTTTTGTAGCCTCTGTCATCAGGTTCTTGACCTTGAGGTTATTTCTTACAACCTCTCCCTATTGGCCTACTTCTGGCTCTCCTCCCCTCCCCATTAAAACTCATGCATCTCTTGACTCAAATGGTCTCCTTCATTCCCTCTTCATGACCAAACCATTCATTCTACCTCAATGCAAAACCTCGCCAATAGTCTCAATACTCAGCCACCCTCTAAACTTGAACAGGTTTTCCTGTTTTCCATTATTAGATTACACATTTATCTCACCATTCTCATTGCAGCTCGCTCAAGCCTACACATGATATCCTCATTGACCTGCCGCCATGTTTCACTGCCATACATCATCACACTTCTCACACTAATTGCGTACATCCTTCCTTTCACATGAAGAGAAGGTTCTAATGTCAACAATATAGGCAGCAGCACCCTAACTTTCTTCCAGCTAACTGAGCTAGCTACAGCACCACCTCCAACTCTGATCATGTTACCCAAATAGCAGAACTCATTGGTACAAGTAGTGTTTCTCTGGCTTTGGTGTGACCACATGATTACCATATTTGCCGGCATATAAGACGCATTTTTTTCCCCCAAAAAGTATCACAAAATACCCAGCGTCTAATGCACCCATATTACGGATGGGAAGCCGAGTGCCGTAGGCGGAGGTGCCTCGCTAGGGAGTCTGGGACGAGCAGTAGTCCACTAAGCACAAATATTGTGTTGCTAATAATATTACTAATAATAAAATACGTACTGAAAAACAAGCCAAATTATCACAATCTATTATCACAAACTTACGGCAAATTTGCCGAAGACGTAAATAATGGCTTACATTGGCTTAATGGCGGAGGGAAGCTCACAACATCTCACTGTACCTCCTTCCCCAGCATACATAACCCACACCAGATACATGTCTTACATTATTTAATGACTGTGTTACCTTCAAGAAACATTTGTTTATTATCTAAATGAAAAATGCCCCTAGAAAGATTAAAATGTTAACAGAAATTTCAGCCGCCAGTCAGCCTTCTGCAATGATTCGATGATGCCAAAACAATAGCGATGGTGCTACACCCTGGTGACAGATCGCGGCAACACAAAACATCACAGCCAAAAATATGAGTAACATCCTGTCGGTGATTCTCTTGACCAAAATATTAACAAGCCACACAGCTGCTCTGATCAGAGGTAGAGTTGCGTTAGTATAATGATACTATATATGATTTCCTACTTGATTCCAGTATATATTGTATTTACATGCACAAAATCATATGTTTCCTCCTACAAAACCACTTTAAGATCCTTTTCAATAAATGTATGATGAAACGAACAAAAGAAAAATAAATCCACAAAATATTCTTGTAAAATAGGGGTGCGTCTTATGTGGTGGTGCGTCCTATACAGTACCTAAATATACAGTGTACTTAAAGTTAGCATCATCCTCTCAGTCTGCTAATTATTCCACTGTACCTCTGGTGTACTCATCTTCTACACTCACTACAGCTACACATTATTTAGTTGCTCCCAACACCTTACATACAGATATCGCATGACCATTTTTCACTTCCCACTACAAGTCTCTCACTGATGCCACTAATTATTCAAAACATAGTACGATAATTTGGCAAAAATACCTGTACATCACATAACATCCAAAACTCACATTACATAGATATTCACTTTATCTCAAACATATGGGCAAAAATTTCAATAAGTTCAGTGAAAAATACTATATGTACTGTATGTGCTTTCTCTTGTTTGAAATTATCAATACTGTACAGTACTTTGTAAACAGTTGATGATTATGCCCTTTTTTTTTGAAGAGAGATTTGTATTTTGTACATTTTTAGTGGTGAATCGGCTTTCCACACCCTGATGGCTGGGTTTGGTTGGGCCAAGTATCCCATGATTCAGCGCATGGACTCTCTCAGGAAAGGAATGCCAATGACATTGATATATGGATCCAGATCATGGGTGGACCGTGACCCAGGTTTCCAGATTAAATATATGAGGAACGACTCCTATGTAAATGTTCAGGTACTGTTCCCAGTTCTTCGTCAAATTTTCTGCATTGTATTATATACAGTATACATGTACCAAGTGTGAGGTCATGCTGTTGGTGCCCACTTGATTTATACCTTCCACTGTCTCCCATGTATGGTAATTCAAACTTTTATTGAAGGTGTCCATGTGGTTGAAAAACTTAATGATTTGTCATTTTCAGGTTATCCCAGGAGCAGGTCATCATGTATATGCCGACAAGGCTGAGATATTCAATAACCTGATAAATAACATTGGTAAACACGTTGATGATGGCACACTACCTGCACTCGCTCCAGACCTTCCGACAGAAAACACCGAGGAAAACCAAGATGATGTTGGCATGTCGTTCTCAAAGATAATCAATGTACGTAATGATAACTTACGTGATGAGACGACAGTCCAAGTAGATATGAATGTATCAGCAGAGGAGCTTGATTAACATCACATTATTTATAAGCTGATAGATATAGTGGTTATAAGGAAAAAAGTTGGCCATAACAGGAATGGTGTCATATGGTTAGGAATTTGTAATTAAGACAATATGACAAAACTATATTTTTATGTCTTCATTCATATCTGGTGACCTGTTGCAGATCTATTTAGATTATAAAGATAATCATTTTTAATTACAGTACTATTACTACATAATCAGGTTGATCCATCAGGTTTAAATTTATGGCATGCTGTTTATTGTTGCAGTAACATGGAAGGCTTCCTCAGTTTAGTGCAGTAATGTTTTAGAGGCCAAAGTTTATCACCTATGCAAAGGCATCTCGATAATATTCCATAACATAAACTACTGGAGTGAGTAATGAAGTTTTGAAATAAAACTTTATTCATTGTGTGGCATTTGTTTTTAGCCGTTTGAGTAAGTTCAATGAGAGCAATTCTTGACTAGTTAGGAAAAAGAATTCTCGTGCCCCTTGTGGCGCAGGGGCTTCTTATTGCATCCCTGGCTTACTTGCATCATGTTCTTGTTCTCATGTATCAGTGTTGGGTGTAAGACTGGCTGTGTAATAATGCACTGTTAGCCATATATAGTTACTGGTATCCTTGATCTTTGCAATTATAAGTATTTAGTTTATATTTCAATTTTAAGTACAGTATGTTATTATTACATGTTGTATACAGTATTCTATGAAGATAATTTTATTGTCACAAAGGAAATTTGGTTAGGAACCTCCTCCATATTAGTAAGTTATCTTAAGTACCTGTATAAGGATGTTAGATGTTATTTTACTTCTAGAATCAGGAAGTAATTTTGTCCTTGTAACATCTTTATCTTAACAAATTTACATTAATGGGATTTTGAAGTTCATCAGTTTTCAGGACAAATTATTGTTGCAAAACCTGTTTAAAAACTGGATAGTTTCCATAGTAAATAATTATACAGAACAGTATATTGATGTGAGAATAATAAAGTTCTTATAGTAAACCCCTGCATAATTAGACCAAATAGAGGAAAAGGGAGTTTAGTTTTTCAGGGCACAAAAGAATACCATTTATAGCCAATTTAAATAAAAAATTGGTGGCCATTTTATGAACGTTCACAGTATTGGTTTTGTGTTTCATTTAACAAAACAAAAAAAACATACCCAATGACATAACATATAATATTAATATACTAAAACTTATAATATAATTTTGAGATAACCTGTGTACACCCCCTGAGCCTGTGGTGTAAGGAGTGAAGAGGAGGAGCAGCTGCTGAGATGCTTTTATTATTTCCTCTCGTCAGTAATGCTTGTTTGCGTGTGCATTAGTTTTGGCCTTGCACCAACACCACCACTGCTGCCACTTGCACTTGCTATGGTGATGAAATGGGGAGTAAACGATGATGTAAATAATGATGAAACAGGGAGTAATCAGTGATGAAATAGGGAGTAATCAGTGATGAAATAGGGAGTAATCAGTGATGAAATAGGGAGTAAGCAAGGAAAGGATCAAAATATATATAATATCTAGTGTGTGTGTGTGATGTGAGTAAACATAGGATGAATATGGATGACAACACTGCACTGGTTCAGTATTTGTTGTAATGTGTACAGTAATAGCCACGGGTCTTCCGATTTTTATGGATAGAATTTGAATAGACCAAATGGAAATGATATGAAATGGTGAGGCAGACTAGATTGATATTGTAAAATGTTGGTGTACTTGTATATTTTAAAACTTCCCATTTTCCTCCAAAATGTACAGATGCTTCAGGTAGCAAACAATTTATCCAGATTTCCAGTTTTAGTGAAGTTTGGTTAAATAAGCTGTTTAACCCTCTGGCACCAATGGCCATGGTCAGAAATCTCACCCCCTTACAGTCTTTCGATGCAGTGGCAACAGGAGTGGTTTTTCCATTTTAATAAACATTGAGTAGAGTGATCCAGACCCAAATTGCACCCTTAGAGATGCATTTGCTAGACTTCAAGGCTAGTGAGGAGGAACTTAGGTGGTTGATAGGGCTGGTCTACTGTTCCTGCATTACTGCTTACAGGAAGGATGCTCTCAGTGTGAGATACAGCTGAGCAGGAAGGTTGGCCCCTGCACAGGAGTGTTTAGTGATGCAATTTGCGATGAAAGACCACGAGAGGGTTAACTGACATAACTCTGATCCATCTCTTTGGCAATTAACATTTGCTATGGATGTTGGTCGAATGTTTTGTTGCTGTATCACTTTAATTTCTTTCCGTGGTATCTATCTTCCTCGCTCGTCCTCCATGTTTTCAGATACTGCTGGATCTTTTGTAGATATAGATGTACTGTACAGTTCAGTATATCCTTTTACACATACGTCAGTCAGAGACCATCTGCTATCAGGGGCAGATCCAGGAATATCAAAAGGGGGGTCCAAGAAGTTGTGGGTGAGGGAACACGGTGAGCACAGCGAGCCCACCCAGCTGGGGCATTTTTATTTTTACGTTTATTTATTTTTCGTTTTTATTTTATTTATTATTATTTTTTTTTTTGGGGGGGGGAGGGGGCTTACACATACACACACACCAATACAATACAGGTAAAAGAAATTACTGTCTCTAGAATGAATGGCTCCCTGTCCCGGCCGCGAAAATTCCAGCAACTTTAAAACTACCCTTAGACATTCTTGGGTACATCCAGGGTGTCATCCGCGAATAATCGAGGGCCGCGCGAATTGTTGGGTCATGCTGTATATTAAAAATTAATGAGATTGAGTAAATGTAAAGACAACTGTACTCCATATAAATTGTGTAGCTAAGTGTTATTTTGGTTTAGACCTAAACTTCCAGTGAGTATTGTTCATAATTTTTTTTTTTACTGGTATCAAGGCCTGGGAAGCTATTAATCATGTTTTAGAATGCCAACTGTACACAAATTTCCTCTTTATATAATGTGTTAATAATTATGGTACATGCCAGTTAAAATGTACAGTACAGTGGCCCATTATACTGTACAGGTAAAGTACACCAGATGTAATATTTTAAAATAATTCAGCTCAACATTTTTTACTGGAGGATTTGTGTTCTGTTTCAAGAATGTGATAGAATTGACTCTCCTGCTCTAAGAATTAAGTTTAACTGCATTTCCTCTAAACTTCCCAGTACTGCACTGGGTAAATAAACATTTGTGAATACTAATCTAATGAATAGTGCAATACAATACAGCACTGAATGAAAACAGGATCTTTCACGCTCTTCAATGCTACTAGCTAAGGTTACATCACCTTCAGTGGCAGGTACAGATTCAATGACTTATTTTACTCATGTTCTTTAATGTAGTCTTCACCAAGTGTTTAAGTAGAAGGTTCAGAGGAAATATATAGAGGTTTGGGAGTTGAGGGAACCATGGCTTTAGTGGTTTACCGGTAAATCATGACACAAATATGGCAAAGTACAGCAGCCGTGTGCGTGTGTTTTGAAGTGAATCCAAATAGATTTAAGTAAAAAAATCAGAACTAGCCCAGGTATCAGTTTACCCCTTGTGTATGGGGTCACCTCTGAGCTGAATAAAATCGTCTGGTGTTAGTCAAATAATATATTAAAAGTGGTGTCCCTGTAGTGAAGGTATTCAAGCAAACAAATTGAGTCTGCAGGCAATTCATTCATACTGAGATTCCTGCCAAGCAATGTACTGATGTGTCCAAGTTCACGGTGACTTTCAAGACTGGCTTCTGTACATGAGACAAAATAATCTTCATTTACAGTATTAAAAAAAAATAATAATAATTTAGTGTAACATGATTGATGGACAGTAATCTTGATTTACGTTTATGATGATGTGGATATGAAGAAGTTAGGACATTTATTTGAAAATTGGAATATAGAATAAAATTATACTATTTAATTGGAAGTATTGTTGAGTTATGTTTTGGATGATTTTATTTACTTACACATTAGCTATGTAACCTTCAAAGCTCTCTCCTCCCATCATTTCTTTTTAACACGTGTAACAATTAACAAGACTAATAGTACTATACTTCTGTTTGACCCACTTCACTTGGGTATAGGTGGTCCTCGTTCTTGTAATACTTAAACAGTTTCAGTTATAAAATTAATGAAACAAAATCAAGGCTTGACAAAAATTTAAAATCTTCATGTATGGTAAGGAACTTTGAAATGGGTTTGGTTAAAAATTTATATGTATGTACAGCAAGTGTTTAGAAGAAGTTTTAAATAGGTATAAAGACTTCTGCTTGATTATAAAATGTTCTGTATTGATGAAGAACATAGTAGGTGGCTTAAAGAGATAACATAGTTGATATTTTGGAAAAAGTTTTTCATGCCACAACCATTTTTAAAAAAGCCGGTGATAGCTTGACAGACGAAGGTTTTTTCATCTGTCGTGTTAAAAGATGTAAGTGGGCATTGCCTTTGTCTCTGTAAGCTTAGCCCTTCATTTCCTCTCTCATGTGGAATAGTAACTTAAGAAATTGTGATATTATTGAGTTATACCAACACACAAATATATATATATATATATATATATATATATATATATATATATATATATATATATATATATATATATATATATATATATATATATATATATATATATATATATATATATATATATATATATATATATATATATATATATATATATATATATATATATATATATATATATATATATATATATATATATATATATATATATATATATATATATATATATATATATTAACTAAGAGTAACATTTTTATATCTTAGATGCAGTTACATGATTTGAGAATGGTGAATATGCTAATTTTTAAGTCATTCACAAACTACAAGAAGTGCAATTTTATGTATTCTTCATCTATCAGGTGGAAATGCACTTCAGAAATACAGGTTTAGTTACATATTGTACAGTACTTTTAAAATGTAACCAACACTGGTAGTTGGCCAGTATCATTAGTTAACATCTTTGATTTTAGTATTGCAGTAGCTCATCCATCTTTTGTAAATTAAATTATATGATAAACTGTATTCCACTCCAAGTTGAAATAGAATCATCATGCCTCACACAAAAAAGTTCTGCAAAAATGTGAATGTGAATTTCCACATTTCATGAAACATTTCACATGTAATTCACTTTTGCTCATTCATTTCTGAGACTCTACTTCTTCTTCTTTGTTCTTTTGTTTAAACTTCTTAAGGAAGTCTTCATTAGTCATTAGGGTTATCACTCTCCACCCTTGGTCCTCTGACATGATCCCTGACTTTAACCTTGAAATTTTCAATCTCTTCTTATCCACTTCTGCTCAATCAACGGCTCACAGTGCACGACAAAGTGTGATCCAAAATTTCTGTCTCTCCCTCGTGCCATTTATATAAAGAAATGAAAAACAAATATTGGATAGAATATTAAGTGACAGTGTGTTTCAGAATTTGAAGGAACTTGTAATAGATGATGTATTATAGATGGTTGGATCAGGGGTAATGAAGTTACACGTAAAAATGTTTAACGGACTGTATATAAGCTTTTAAATGTACTCTAGTATATCTAGTTGTAAGGTTTGAGTCATGAGGTATAATAGTTTTTTACTGGTAATAATTGGCACTGCCTGGAAAATTTGTGTTTTTGTGTGAGGAACATTATATGGAAATTGTTTAAAACTCTGACAGCTAAATGGAAAGGACTGCAGTGATATAATTAAATTTAGCAAAAAATCTTGTACAGTATTCAAAGTATTTGAAGCATAAACTGTACAGGTATGTTTTTTTTGTTTTTTTAAAGAATAAGACATTTTAGAATTAATATTATATTCTGTGTATTATTTGATAGGTTTTTGACCTGAAAAAGATGAGACATCAACGTAGAGAATGATACTCTGCATGACACAATTCATGACAGTACAGGTATTTATACATTATGTTATTATCTGTACCCTATCTTTTATTTAGTGTCTCTGGCCAGGCTTCTTCTCAGGATTTATTACAGTGATCCCTCGGTTAACGAATTACCTTCCATAAGATTCTTCACTTCGGTTAACGAAAAAATTTCGGTTAACGAATTCCTCACGAATTTTTCATAGCATGTTTTCGCCTGCATATGGTTGCTCACCAGCTGTAGCATTAGTCCGCCAATGCAGTAATCGGTTTTAGGGCTTAAATTCCTGACCAT